ATTTCATAGACTGACATGTTGGGAAGAAAAGCCTCAGCCCATTCCCTTCCCCTCTTGCTGCTGGACTGAACCCTGGATTAGAAGGGACCTTGACTGTACCACATCTGCTGTGAAGATGAAGACTATTCTCAGCGGTCAGACGCCCGCATCCCAGGAGGGGTGGCCGTCACTCTGACGGGACGCGCAGTTGTTGTGAGGGCCCCAGAGCAACCCGCGGAGGTTGTCACAGCAGTGCAGCGCTCACTGTCCGCGGGAAGAAGAGAGGCTGCGGGTTGACAGGTGGTGGGAGACAGGAGGACCCGGCTGCAGCTGCCCTGTCCGTCATCACAGAACACGGTCGGTCCCCCTGGGCCTCCGCCACAACACGAGGCCTGTGTGCTCATTTCCCATCAGCGTCGTGACCCGGGAGAGTGGGTCTTGTGGAAATCCAAAATTTCTGGAGGTTTTGACCAGGCGTTGTTTGTTCACTATCTCAAACCCAGAAAAATGAGTTGATCCTTGAAGGTAATAACATTTAACTTGTTTCAAATTCAGCTGCTTTGATTTTTAGCAAGCCATGACAGTTAAAAATAAGGATGTAAGAACATTTGGCGACGCGGTCTAAGCCTCTGAGGAGAGGACAGTTCAGACCGATGATCCGAGAGTTCTCTGGCACAGGAAGGAGCCCGGTGATTTCTAGAGCTGTTACGTGCTGTCACAAAGATAACAATAAAAGACAACCATTGATTTTATTAAAAAAAAATGAGGGAAGTGACCTTGAAACATGCATAATCAGTAAATTTTGTATCTCTGTCCCTAGGTACAAACAGAATAGGCAGACCCCCTTTGTTTTATTTGTTTGTCACTAGGTACAAGCAGAATAGGCAGACCCCCTTTGTTTTATTTGTATCATTTTATTTACACGTATGACTGCACATCTGCACAGTGTACAACATGGCTTTTCCCAGTCAAGTCAGATCCTCTTTGACTTCGGGAAAATCTTGGGAGAATTTCAGCTGTGTTAGAGGAGACCTGGGTGATCTGGGCAGCTCATGGAACCCCTCTCAACGTCACCTGGCTGAAAAACTGAATGAAGATTTACTTTCTACACACCTTGTAAAGTTGGAATGACCCAAAAATAAAAAAAAGCGCGAGGCAGCCACATGTAGATACCATGTTCATGTAGATGCCATGTAGAACCCAGGACAGGAGGTGAGTGAAGGTTCAAGTGCTTGAGCAGCTGCGATGGAGGTCATACAGGTGCATGGGAGCCATGCCCTGTCCTCAGGGCGACTCGTGACCTCAGCTTTGCACCTCTTCGGTCTTTCTTTGCTCACACTCGAGAATGTCTTCACTACAGTTCCAACCACAGTGAGTGAGGAGGCTGTCTACACCATAGGGAGCCATGCCACAGGGAGCAGGAGTGCAGATGTCCACTTCAAGGGGGTTTGGCATGGACTTCAAGACCCTGCAGACCTGAGCAGTGTGTGGGCAGTGTGCCCCAGGGGAACACCTGCTGTGGCATATCAGGGCCGTCCACTTGGGGACATGGTTGGCCCGCATGACAGGCCCTGAGGACAGTGAGGGGCCCCTGGAACGAAGCCGGCCACTGTGAACGGCAGGACTAGGGAGGCTGAGGTCTGGGTACAACGGCCTGGCCTGGGCTAGGTGGGCAGAGTTTGGTGTGGCTGCAGGGGTTGTTGGAGTAAGGAGCAGCCCACCATGTGGAGGGGACCATCTTATGAATGACACTCTTAGATTTGCTGGATCAGTGCGCTAATAGATTTTAGGGTTTTTACCACCTGTCAGTGACTCGCCTTTACTCCTGTACCCTAAGCCGATATTCCCCTCCAGCTTCTATTTGGTATGCCTCAGGGATGGGTTCACATCCACACAAGTAAATCAAAAGAAGAAATGCTAATGGAAACATGACATTTTAAATGAAGTTTAAATTAATTTATTTCTTTTATGAGAGAAAGAATAAGAGAGAAGCCCCCCAGCAGGCCCACCAGCTCAGCCAGGCTGAGTGCAGGCGTGTGTTCATCTCACTGCACACAGCCTCGAGATGTGAACCCACCACCTCCCCATGCGGGTTTGCCACCACGGAGCATCGCAGTAGGGCTGCACCCCCGTGTGGGCCCACAGATGGGAACTTTACATAACACCTATAGGCCCTTCCCACAGAGTATAAATTTTATTAAAAAGAAAAAAATAACTTTATAGAAGAAAAATCTAGCATATACCACCTTAATGAAATGGCCAAAGCAGACATTGTGATGGAGACAGATTAAGAAGACACCACTGGGTGGACAATAAGAGTAGAGCAGCACCTCTGCAGAGCCAGGCCTAAGATGCAGGGCCCATGGCACAGCCGGGGCAAGGTGGAGGGCCGTCCTGTGTGGGGGCCAGGCTGCTGTCTCCAAGACTGCTGTAGACATGAGGGGTGGAAGATGGAGGCCCACTCAAGCTCACAGAGAAGCGCGAGGCAGCCACATGTAGATACCATGTTCATGTAGATGCCATGTAGAACCCAGGACAGGAGGTGAGTGAAGGTTCAAGTGCTTGAGCAGCTGCGATGGAGGTCATACAGGTGCATGGGAGCCATGCCCTGTCCTCAGGGCGACTCGTGACCTCAGCTTTGCACCTCTTCGGTCTTTCTTTGCTCACACTCGAGAATGTCTTCACTACAGTTCCAACCACAGTGAGTGAGGAGGCTGTCTACACCATAGGGAGCCATGCCACAGGGAGCAGGAGTGCAGATGTCCACTTCAAGGGGGTTTGGCATGGACTTCAAGACCCTGCAGACCTGAGCAGTGTGTGGGCAGTGTGCCCCAGGGGAACACCTGCTGTGGCATATCAGGGCCGTCCACTTGGGGACATGGTTGGCCCGCATGACAGGCCCTGAGGACAGTGAGGGGCCCCTGGAACGAAGCCGGCCACTGTGAACGGCAGGACTAGGGAGGCTGAGGTCTGGGTACAACGGCCTGGCCTGGGCTAGGTGGGCAGAGTTTGGTGTGGCTGCAGGGGTTGTTGGAGTAAGGAGCAGCCCACCATGTGGAGGGGACCATCTTATGAATGACACTCTTAGATTTGCTGGATCAGTGCGCTAATAGATTTTAGGGTTTTTACCACCTGTCAGTGACTCGCCTTTACTCCTGTACCCTAAGCCGATATTCCCCTCCAGCTTCTATTTGGTATGCCTCAGGGATGGGTTCACATCCACACAAGTAAATCAAAAGAAGAAATGCTAATGGAAACATGACATTTTAAATGAAGTTTAAATTAATTTATTTCTTTTATGAGAGAAAGAATAAGAGAGAAGCCCCCCAGCAGGCCCACCAGCTCAGCCAGGCTGAGTGCAGGCGTGTGTTCATCTCACTGCACACAGCCTCGAGATGTGAACCCACCACCTCCCCATGCGGGTTTGCCACCACGGAGCATCGCAGTAGGGCTGCACCCCCGTGTGGGCCCACAGATGGGAACTTTACATAACACCTATAGGCCCTTCCCACAGAGTATAAATTTTATTAAAAAGAAAAAAATAACTTTATAGAAGAAAAATCTAGCATATACCACCTTAATGAAATGGCCAAAGCAGACATTGTGATGGAGACAGATTAAGAAGACACCACTGGGTGGACAATAAGAGTAGAGCAGCACCTCTGCAGAGCCAGGCCTAAGATGCAGGGCCCATGGCACAGCCGGGGCAAGGTGGAGGGCCGTCCTGTGTGGGGGCCAGGCTGCTGTCTCCAAGACTGCTGTAGACATGAGGGGTGGAAGATGGAGGCCCACTCAAGCTCACAGAGACTTGAGAGACTGTGACGTGGGACATGTTTGGACCTGGGCCTTTTGCTGGTAAGGACTTTGTCAGGGCGTAGGGCCTGAGAGTTATCGTATTGGTGCTAATCTCTCCATTGCGATGGCTGTATTGTGGTTGTTTAGGAAAACATCTTTGTACAAAACACACATTAAAGTATGAGGCAGCCTGCTCTCAGTGGTCAGGAGAAAGTATTTGTACCACACCTACAACTTTTCTGTAAGTTTGATGTTTCAAAATGATAAAAAGAAAAAACTGCCAAGGCTCAAAAAGTCACGTGCACTGATGGGGAGACCAGCGGATACTGAGTGAGAGCTCCACACGAAGTCCAGCCGAAAGCCTGGCTCAGACTGAAACTCCGCCCCTAGAGCCACACCTTCCCACCAGCCGCATGGCCCTGGGGTCCCGCTGACCTCTGTCCTGTGTGTGAGTGCAGGGCATCCCGTGGGTGGGTGGCAAGGGCCTCCCCCCCCCCCAAGCCTATGTCCTCCCTGAAGACTGTCTGCCACCCACCCCGCCCTGTGCAGCCCTGCGTGGTCTGGGTTCCTGCCTGGTTCTACACTTGTCTCACTCCCAGTCTGGGGCAGGTGCAGGTGTGATCACACTCCACATGGGTGTTTCCAGCTTCCTGCACCTAGGGGCGGAGTTCCCTCAGCCAAGCCCCTACGGGATCACCCACCCTTCCCACAGATCTCAAGACTTTCCAAGCCACCAGTGAAAAAGGAGACCTCTCATTTTAGTTCCTCACTGTTACCATTCCTACGAGTACAGATGCCCTCCTAATTATGGCCTGAATAAGGGCTTTGATCAGTTCGGGATAGCTCCCAGTCAAGGGCACTTCAAAAATTGGAAAATTAAGGTGTGAGTTTATTTCAGCGCAAAACCTTTAGAAATCTCTGCACAGTTTTTCATTCCCAAGGCCTTCTCATATCATTTGACCCCTTAAAACAAGCATCGCTGCAGAGCACCAGGTGGCACCCCCATGGCTGCTCCCCCATGACCCTCGGGTGCTGCTTCCCCACAGCTGGACTTGAAGGCACAGGGACGTGGATGTAGGTGTGTTCAGCCATTTTACCCAGGTGTCTGCCACACAGCTGCAGGCCCAGAGGCTCAGCCGGGGTGGGCGGTGTGGTGGGGTGGAACTGGGAGCTCGGAGTGAGTCAGGTTCCAGGCACAGGGTTTGCTGCAGTGCAGCCTGACTACCGGCTTGGACCCGCCGCTGCACTGTGGGAACGACCTGGAGTTTGTGCATGTCCATTGGCACTCTCACTGCCAGGGACGCTCCTGAGCAGAGGTGGACAGCCTCAGCCAGCAGGAAATCTCTTACGGGCCTGGAGCGGTTCTTGAGCAGGTCCTGTGACCTCTGATCTCCTAGAGGCCTGAAGTGCTCCATGGGCCCTGTGCTGTGTAAACAGAACGGCTGCTTCCTGCTTGGTGCTCTGGATTAGAGGCCCTTGTGACAGGAACCTCTTGCAGTGGGGTAGCTGGCACCTGCACCCCATAAAAGCAGCCACCCCTCTCCCTCTTTTGTCTGGCCTGAGAGCAGCAGTCCACGTCGCCTGAAGGCTCTGCGTGAGGTGAGCTCAGCCCCCTCCCCGGTGGTGTCCAGTGCAACGTTGCAGAGGGTGAGGGCCTGCTAGCAGCCCTCAGGGGCTGGGCCGGCAAGGAGGTGGCCTCCCTGTGCCACTGGGAGGTGCTCCTTGGAATCGTGAACGTGGATGCAGGGGAAACTTGAAAACAGCCCACAGCTCACTGGTCCTTCGGCCAGGTCCATTCCCAACAGGGGCTGAGGGAACAGCTCCCGGGCGTGGGCAAGGGTCCCCATCACTGACCACGTCGGGCAGGTAGGCATGAGCCTGGACATGTCTGCTCACCTTCTCCCCCACATCTGAAGAGTCAGAAACTCCCTCTTTCCCGCACTGCCCAGCACCTTGACCTCACCCCGAGGGAAGGGCAGAGGCAGGTCAGGAAGTGGAGGATGCCGGGAACCTCCATGGAGTTTGGCGCTTTCCTGAGCCCTGTTGGGACCTGACCTGGCCCTCAGGCTCCTCCTTGCCCCAGACCCCTGACGGTGCCCTGTGGGTGGCCTCCCCTTCTGCAGGAGACGCCATGCTCATGCCGCTGTGCTCCGGGGCCCTCTCTCTGAGGGAAGGGCAGAGGCAGGTCAGGAAGTGGAGGATGCCGGGAACCTCCATGGAGTTTGGCGCTTTCCTGAGCCCTGTTGGGACCTGACCTGGCCCTCAGGCTCCTCCTTGCCCCAGACCCCTGACGGTGCCCTGTGGGTGGCCTCCCCTTCTGCAGGAGACGCCATGCTCATGCCGCTGTGCTCCGGGGCCCTCTCTCTCCTCCTGATGGTGGTCTCCGGCATCGTGTGTGATGTGCAAGAAGTCTGTGTTGGAAGCCCCGGGATACCTGGCACTCCTGGGTCCCATGGCTTGCCAGGCAGAGATGGGAGAGATGGTATTAAAGGAGACCCTGGGCCTCCAGGTATGGTGTCAGAGAGTCCACCTCGCCCATCACGCAGAGACCCATCTGTCCAGGGTTGTAGGCCGAGTCTAAGAGTCAGTTGGGTGGGACACATGGGAGTCTCTGGGGCCTTGGGCTGGAGCGTCCTGGGACTGGACCCTAACGAGCCCACAGAGATGGAGAGTCAGCACTGGAGAGGGGACCCTTACTCAGTCCCACCGGTGGTGGCAACAGGTCCCACCCATCCATGTCCCCTGCTCCCATAGGCCCAATGGGTCCCTCTGGAGGAATGCCAGGTCTTCCTGGGCGTGATGGGCTGACTGGAGCCCCTGGCATCGCTGGAGAACGTGGAGAGAAGGGGGAGCCCGGTGAGAGGGGCCTTCCAGGTGAGCTGGGTGGGCGGTGGGTGGTGTCAGCAGTTGAATGCCCTTGGTTAGCACCCGGCAGGGAGGATCCGGCCAGCACGCTGGTTCCCAGCGTGTGCTTGTCTGGGGCATGAGGTGGAAGGGGCGACTGGAGGTGTGTGAGCAACCCGGCCACAGTCCAGGCACTGACAGTGATGGGAGACAGGTGTGAGGTGTGGGAGGGCTGTCCCTGGGAGGCAGGGAGATGCTCGTGGGCTGAGGCCTGGGGGCTCAGAAGGTGTGGGGTGACGTGGATCAGAGGTCCGGGTGCATGGTGTGACCTGGAAACCCAGAGGGCGCACCTCCAAGCCCGAGCAGTAAGGAGAGAGAAAGGTCCGTGGAGGAGGGTCTGTGCCCAGAAGACAGAAAAACCCAGAGATGGGCAAATAGTCATTTAAAGGACAGAGCGGGGGCACGAGGTGGGGCCGCCTCTTCGGACAGGCGTGTAGGGCGTATGGGAACACCCTCGGGCAGTGTGTGTGGGTGACGGGAGGATGGAGTCCCAGGCTTGCACCTGGCAAAACTCTGGCTTGGTGGTGGAGGAAGGGCATCTTTGCTGACATGCCCCTCACCCTGGGTGGGCATCTCTCCAGGCCTTCCAGCTTATCTGGACGAAGAGCTCCAGACCACACTCAGTGAGCTCCAGCACCAAATCCTGCAGTTGATGGGAGGTAAGAGGGTCCTGAGACCTCTCAGGGCAGGGGTCTACCACACATTCCCCTTCCTCAGCATTGGCCTCCGGATCTGTGTGGACATGCAAGTTCGGGAGAAAGGGATGAGCTTTTCTTCCCTGAGGTCTTTGAATAGCCCAGAGACAGAACTGCACATGGATTTGCTCCTAATGGTCAAGCAGAGAAAAACAAATTTTCTGCCTTCCTTCTTTTCTTTCTTTCCTTTCTCCCTTCCTCTCTCTCTCTCTCTCTCTTTCTCTTTTTCTTTCTTTCCTCATTCTTTTCTGGGTACATACATGTGCCAGAGAGAGAGTGAGAGAGTGAGAAAGGAAGTGCCCCAGTCCCCTCCCCTCATCTCCCCTTTGCATCCAGATGTGGGCGTATGCACATGTACACCCAGTGTGTTCCCCTCATCTCCCCTTTGCATCCAGATGTGGGCGTATGCACATGTACACCCAGTGTGTTCCCCTCATCTCCCCTTTGCATCCAGATATGGGCGTATGCACATGTACACCCAGTGTGTTCCCCTCATCTCTCCTTTGCATCCAGATGTGGGCGTATGCACATGTACACCCAGTGTGTTCTTCAGCCCACTGAGCTGGGCAGCCGTGTGGAGTCCGTTCCCTCCCCAAAGGGTTTAACCACTGTAGGCAGGGTTGGCCCATCTGCCGATCTTGCTTTCTATTGAATCCTAGGAAATTGTAGTTTCTGGTAACAGTCATTATTAAATGGACAAGTGAATGAAAGGGTGAGAGAGTGTGAGAGGAATTTAGAAAACTAGGATGGGAAGAGGGAGAGAAGATGCAGAGAGGCAGAGATGAGAAGACTGGAGGGACCCCGAGGTGGGGAGGCAGACGTGGGGCAGAGGTTGACCCCTGATCAGGCTCTTCTGCTCTCAGTCCTCAGTTTGCAGGGGCTTGTGCTGGCCGTGGGAGAGAAGATCTTCTCCACCAATGGGCAGGCAGTCAGTTTCGATGCCATTAGAGAGCTGTGTGCCAGAGCAGGGGGCCAAGTCGCTGTTCCCAGGAGCCCCGAGGAGAACGAAGCCCTGGCCAGCATCGTGACGAAGCATAACATTTATGCCTACCTGGGCTTGGCTGAGGACCCCACTCCAGGAGACTTCCACTACCTGGACGGGGCTGCCGTGAACTACACCAACTGGTACCCAGGGGAGCCCCGGGGTCGAGGCAAAGAGCCATGTGTGGAGATGTACACCGACGGGCAGTGGAATGACAAGAACTGCCGACAGTACCGGCTGGCCATCTGTGAGTTCTGAGCAGGCTCAGGCCCTGCCTTGCCTCTGGCCTCCATCTAATAACCCACCTCACCCATGTCATTTTTCTTTTTCTTTTTAAATTACATTTAATCTCAGCATATCTTTACAACGTACACGATGGTTTTTTCCGGTCTGAGTATAACGCATATCAGTCACGTCAAATATATTACCATAAACGCTATCATCAGCAGATAACTTTCATTTTTGTGTCCGTTAAATTTTTTTTTTTCCCTGATTGCCTTTCTTGCCCTCTCCCACTACTCACCCCCTCCTACACTGTCTCTAGTATCCACAGTTGCTCTCCCTGCTTTCATACCTTCCAATCTTTCAGTTTCTGCTATGGAGTGGAGACATGCAGTAGATGTTAAGGGGGGACATACAGTGCCTCTCTTTTATTGTCTGGCTTGCTTTGCTCAACACTAAATCTTCCATGTTAGTCCACTTCGTCTCAACTGTCAGGGTCTCATTGCTTTTTATGACTGAGTAGTATTCCATATTATGTAAATGTTACATTTTTTTTTCAATCCATTCATCTGTTCTTGGACATTTGGGTTGATTGCGTGTCTTGGCAATTGTGAATAATGCTGCAATAAACATGGATGTGCAGTGTTTTCGTAACTGAGTAGTTTCCTGTTCTTTGAGTGGATACTAAGGAGTGGAAATGATGGGTCATATGGTCGTTTTGAGAAACCTCTGCATTGTTCTCCTCTGTGGTTGTACTAATTTACCTTTCCACCAACAGTGTAGGACGGGTCTCTTTTCACTGCAGCCTCACCAGCAGTTTTCATTCCTTATTTTTAAAATCTTAGCTATTCTTCTGGGGTTAACTGGTATCTTGTTGTGCTTTTGATTTGCATTTTCTTTATAAGACGTACTGAGCATTTTGTTTATTTATCTATTTACTTGTGATTTTCACATCACCAGGTCTGGGAAATGAACTTTGATTAGCCATGTGGGAGTCCAGTACAACCACCATGCCACCCGCCAGCCCCATTATAAGAGAAGTTCTTCACAGACCTAGAGAACACTGTCACAGAATTTGTCAGGAATCATAAAAGACCCTATATTTCCAAAGCAATCCTATGCAAGAAGAGTGGAGTGGGCAGCATCTCACTCCCTGACCCAAAATATATTACAAAGTTGTGATAATCAAAACAGCATGGTATTCACACAAGAACAGACATGTGAGCCAATGGAACAGAATAGAGACCTCAGAAATATCCCCAAAACATACAGCCAACTGATTTTTGACAAAGTATACCACTCAATACAATGAGAGAAGGAAAATCTCTTTAGCAAATGATTCTGGAAAAACTGGGTATTCACCTGCCGAGAGATAAACCTGGACTCCTATCTCTCACCATTAACAAAAATATACTCAAAGTAGATCATTGATCTAAGCCTAAGACCTCAAACAATAAAACTACTGGTGGAAAACACGGGAAACTCTGGGAGACATTGGGGAATAGGAAAAAAAGGGTAGAGGGAAAGACTTCTTAAATAAGACCCACAAAGCACAAGCAATAATCCACAAAATAGACAATAGGGTTACATCAGATTAGGAAGTTTCTGCACAGCAAAAGACACAGTAATTAATGTGAATTGACAACCCTCAGAATGGGAGAATATTTTTGTAAACTCTGCCAGTGATAAGGGACCGATAACCAGAATATATGGGGAACTCATGCAACCACATGACATGTGCACGCATGCGCCAATGCAACATCAGCCCATGTCCCTGGTGACTGGAGTGGCCTTCACCTCAGGCTGACAAACAAGTCCTGGGCATGTCTCCAGTGCTGCTGGGGGTGCTCTCCAGCATGGCATGGGAGGCCCTACAAGGTAGTGCCCCGGAGGCCTCCCCACTCCGCCTTCTCCCACATGTCCACCGCTACCGGTCAGCAGCTCCGATCTGCTAGAAGCACAGATTTCCCAGAGAGTTTCCTCAAGAGACATTTGACAAAGCACATGCTCGTGCACATGCATACACACATACACAGTTGTACACACACGCATACACACACACACACACACAAACCCATGTGGCCGTGCACTAGCACACACACATGCATGTGGGCGTGCACAAGCACACACCTCCACACCAGTTGCTCTGACTCGTTTACACCTCCGTGTTTCACTTATTGCAGGGCCAAGTTAGGAGAGTAAAGCCCTATAGCCCCAAACCACATCGTCCCTTCTGTCTCATCCTACGCATTTTTCACGTCTTTCTGGGTGTGTCACCGGGCTGGGCACCAGGGGGAAAGTATTCACAGACAACTTAAATCCGAGCTGAATGTGGGAGAAGGCGGAGTGGGGAGGCCTCCAGGGCACTACGTTGTAGGGCCTCCCATGCCATGCAGGAGAGCACCCCCAGCGGCACTGGAGACATGCCCAGGACTTGTTTGTCAGCCTGAGGTGAAGGCCACACCTGGTCACCAACTGTCCACTCTGCCCAGAGGACAGTTTGAGGAGAAATGGGATTAGTTCTTCCTTAAAACTTGTGTAGAATTCGGAGTGAAGCCATAGGAACCTGGACTCTTTATTCGAAGACTGTTACTGATTCAGTCTCATTGTTTGTCATTGGTCTGTCCAGCTTTCTATTTTCTCCTGGTTCAATTGTTTGTATTTTATAAACATATGTTTATATTTGTGAATGACAGAAATGATTTTTTCTTCACGATACACTTTTTGTATCTCAGTTGTCATCTTTTGGTAAGGACCAGAAGCCCCCACATGTTGTTGAAGCTACTTAATGACAGATGAGTCTCTGAATGTGTGACATGGACTTGGGCCTGAATGTGTTAGGGGAACACTTGCTACTTATTTTAGGTTTCAAAGAGCTACCATCTAACAAGGTAGAAAAGTTCCCTCTGTTTCCCAGTTAGATGATTTTTTGGCATTTCTTTAGGAATGTTAACATCAAGAGAATGTTTATTGTAACATGGCTGCTGAGCGGCCACTTCCTACTGAATACGTGGACTGAGCTGCTACCTCCTGCCCTAGTGAAAGTGCTGTTGAGCCAACTTCTGAAGATGAAGCTGTTTGAGAACTCCGCACATAACAGACAGGGAGGTAAAGGGATGGGAACTTCAGAAAAGAGAAGTCTCCGGTCTCCCACCAGATGGATAAAAAACAGAAACAGACAAAAGCAAATGTATATGGAGACTATCCTTCCAGAACCCCTTTAAATATGTGGAATAAATTTCAAGAATTGCATAAAAAGCATTCTGAACAGAAAACTTCAACCTCAAAATTTAGAGGAAGAAAAAGAAAGTGCTCCAGAAAAGATAAATTAAAAATAGAAAAGAGTCTCAGAGTGAAAAGTCCTCAAGTGAAACTAATGGAAAGAGCTTACACAGTATTTGAAGTCCATGACAGAACTGAACCTCCTGTTAGAAAGGAAAAATGTTGAAAAGTCAGGCATTGAAAAGAGGATAGACCAGGCTGTGGAAGAATGGAATACTGAGAAGGCTGAGGGACTCAGCAACCACCTAGTGGCTCGAGATGTTGGTGTAAAAATTGCCAAAGCAGTTGCCTGCCACAACTTTGTAAAAGTCAAAAAGGAGGATGAGATTCACGAGCTGCTCAGAAAAGAAGAAACTCGTGTGGGTGTTTGAAGTGAAGAAGAGAAGGGAAACCAAAAGCAACATGGGATACGTGCAGTTCACCAGAGTTCAAGACAGCTGTAGACTCACATGCTCGGTGTGCTGGGAAGTTACTCCTGCTTACGTTCAATATGTTGGGACCTGCATGGGACCTACAGCTGGAGGTTCCTGGCCTTCCCAGAGAACCGGCTCTTGAGAGGAGCTGCCCTTTGTCAGTGGCAAAGGGAGGGACCCCACAGCCAGCAGTGTGGGCTGAGGCAGCAGGTCCACACTGACATGTGGCCTCTTGTGTGAGCCGGTATTGCCTGCCCTTAGTACCAACATTCTCTCCAGAAAGGCAAGAGCAGGCCACTACCCACCCTTCACTAAGAGGGAACAGCTGCAAGCCTAGCAGCCACTCCATGACCCGGGAGGTGACGTATCTGAGAAAAAAACCAGAGATCGTAAAGGCATAACTATTTGTTTAGAATATGTTTTGAGTCAATGCTAGAAAGTTTGCTACTGCAGGGGTCCAGGAAGAAGATATAAGAAGAATTTTGAGGCCATGTCTAGTTTTAAGCACATACCTGCGTGGAGACTTAAAACTTGTCCTATTTCAAATTAGTTACTATGTTGACTTTTTTATGCAGAATCACCCTAGCATTCTGGGACATACCCTACTTAGCCCAACGGCTGATACCCTCCAACACTCTCACTACGTGCTGGCGCGCGCTTGTCTAACTCGGGCAACCCATCATCCTGCTTCATAGCTGTTACTGCCCTCCCCGATTTACAAACAAGAAGACAAAGGCATGTCGAGTTAAGAGTGATTTGCCGCCAAGTCACCAGCTAACTAATGCAGGAAGTCAGATTCCAGCGGTTGTCAATTACTATTAACTATGAACACATGTGTGGACTTCAACAGCTATTTTTTAAATCGTATTTTTGCATCTGTGTTTATAAATTATATCATTTAGGAGCTCGCTTCTTTGAATCTGTCCTTACTCGTTGTAATTCACACGTTTAGCTAATTACTTTAGCTCAGTGAGTTTTTGGATACAAGTTTTGCATGAGAGAGGAATTCTAGTTTTTCTAAAGATTTGGTAGAACTTGTCTTAAAACTATTTTGTTTTTGATGGGGAGATGGTTGATAATTTTGACTTTCATTTTCATATTTTATGGCCCACTTCTTGGGCCAATGTGAGTACTGTTAAATTCTCTTCTAATATTATTTTATCTAGTCTTTCAATGTATTGCTATTAAAATGAGTTGCTTGTAGTATAATTTTATAATGTCAATCCCATCTATATTAGTAAAAAATCCTTTCTTCCTTCTTGATTTGGCTTATTTCTAATGCCTTCTCTATTGATCATTGATATTGGGCCAGTCAGCTAATACAACTATACATTTCCACATGAGCTGCTTATGGT